AGCTGTATTCACCCTATAAGGTCTTCACTACTATGTAAATTAATTGTCAATTCCTAGACTCACCATGGGAATAACCATGTATTAGAGCTTACGCAACGACGACAAAGGCAATGAAAAATTAACACCAACCAACCAACAAACAAGAACACAAAGAAAAAAAGCAACTCAGCAGGTTCTTTCTTGACGACTTGGACAGGATGATGTTGTATTTCCTGATAAAACGCTTACGGAAACGAACACGCAACAATCGATTTTTCCTTCCTGTTCTTCAACACGGACGCAGTCCTTGGCCATTCAGAGCAAAAATGCCCCGTCCATCTGGCACATTGATGGGGGTAGAATAATCGCGCAAACTTCGAAATAAATTGGCACTTAATAGCTCCAATAAATAGGCCTTTTTCAAAAATACCATAATACTCTTTGCTGTCCCTCCAAAATTTTGCATAAGCATTGTTTTCAATTTCTCTTACAATCGCCCAAAGAGATATTGAAAACAAAGCTTATGCAAAAATTTTGGAGGGACAACAAAGAGTATTATGGTATGTTTGAAAAACGCCTATTGCTTCAACTTCCTTCGTCGTCATAGTCGCATAGGAAACACAAGGAAAGGTACTTCAAAATAAAATAAAATAAAATAAATAAATAATACGTTAAACCAGGCATTTACCTTGTTTTGGTTTTGCTGCTGCCCCTGCTCCTAAGGGAAGTTGAGATCCTGCACTAGATGATGATGTACTTGAACTAGAGGACTCTCCTGAAAGAAAAACACACAAACAATGAAGATCAATGATTGGCTAATAATGGCCCATACCTTGGTATACCATGTGACGTCCCTGGACGAAACAAAACCAAAGGTGTCACCATTAAATGATACCTTCTCCACAGTATTTTCCCAACGTTTTATTTGATTTTCATTATTTTGCAAAATAAGATCAGGGATTTTTTCTTGAATTTTAGTTTTAAGCACTCTAACAATTCACCTTCATTATTGTATTAAATGAATAAATGAATAAATCAATAAATAACATGGTTGTATTTTTACCTGAGGTTCCTGGCTGGGAAGTATCCTCTTGGACAGGTTCGATACATTCACTTGTTGCACCGAAGAAAAAAGCAAAACAAAAGATGTGATATCAAAAGGTGAGGTAATCTTATCAATAACGATCACTGCATAAAAGTTTCTGTTTTATGTGAAACTTTCAGGGGCTATGTCACGCTATTTATTATCATTTTAAAAAGCTAAAACCTGTTTCTGCATCAATTGAATTCCAAAAATAATGGTCCAGTTTTGTTATTCAAGACTATAATTAGGCATTGAAACTGTTTCCAGTCGTTTGTTGCAATGGATGTCAAGGATGGACATGGATTGAATCTTGGAAAAATTGGGCCAACTTTTTCAGTTCTTAATGCTATTACCAAAAACATTATGACGGTCATTGCTCCCTGATGAAATCTTCTTTATAACTCTTCAGGAGCATTTGGCGTATGGATAGAGATACTAAGCAATGCCTTCGGCACAACAATATCCTTGTGACATATCCTCTATACGTGACATAAGTAAAGCACCAATCATCCTGCAGTACCTGTCTTTGGCTTCTGCCTCTTGACCGCCCCCAGCATCTTCGTCTTCTTTCTCTGTTTCTTCTAACAACTCTGCCACTTCTGTTTCAAGACTCTCGGGATGAGCCTGTGAGACAGGCACATTTTGTTCATTGGATTCTTCGGAAACCTCTGTTACTCTGATGGCAGGCACTGTAGCGATGCTACCCCCTTCTGGTTCACTTTCCAAGCTTTCTAAAGACAGCTGCCTTGTATCAGAGCTCGTGCTTGGGAGACGCTGGTTGGGTTGACTGTTAGCTTCTGATGTTTCTGGTAACCCTGTGGGAAATCAACCAACAACATACCGTAATTATTCGATAAAACAGCGGCGTTTGTTGAATTTTAAGCATTTTCGATGACTTGTTTTTTCAAGAGCGGCATTTATTACAAACTCACATTCCTTAAATATCTGACAACAATTACGATAAATCATTTGTAAATGAAATGTAAAACAGAAAAATGCTCACTATTGCGGCGTTTAATCGAGTAAATACGGTATTGCTGAGCTACTGGCTTCTAACAAGAGTTAGAAGATTTCCAGACTCTTTTCAGCTCTATTTCCCCACATTTTAGACTACTTACTAAAAGCAATGACAGAGTCGCTGGGTATGCGATTTTACGAACTTGTGCGCGACGCGAAGCAGTCGACGCCTTGTTCGTCTTGATACGTGCGTCCTCAAAGACATTTTCACTTGTAAGTACTGAACAAAGTCGCGGGAATCCCGCAATTATGTAAAAAAAATAATAAAATGAAATAAAAATACCGGCGAAAGAGGGAAAGGGGGTTACGGAGTGGTAACTCATAAGTGCTAACATTTGAATGTTCACCAAAAGAGCTCGTTGTATGGAAGAGTACAACCTTAAACAACTGCTTGTAGATTTGCTTCCCAAGGACGTAAAAACTGTGCATGACTCTTATAAGTACCTCAAAAACTATCTAATCTACCTTTTCGTCTACCTCGCCTTCTCCTTGTAGGACTAAGTAATACAGTAATCTGATTCTTCCTTCCTATTCTCTGCCTCAAAATCCTTAAAACTTTAGACTTTCCTGCCTTCCTGTCTTCCTCGCAGCTCCTACAGGCCTTTCTTGATTTTTGGTTCCTTAATGCCCTACCTGTGGGAACCACAAATGAGGACCTTTCATTGGATGCTTCATCTGAGCCCCCCATCAGGTCCACTTGGGTGTCATCCACACGGAGCCCTGCAAGGAAATTGTATCATTCACGGTTAACTGCCTGAAGAAATATTGCAAATTTCATTCACTGTACGTTCACGTTAAAGTTTGCGATAGATGCTATTTTAAACACGTGCAAGTGTGTCATCCGATTTTCATATCCTTAGAAAATGGTTTGCAAAAAAGGGTTCGCGACTCCTTTTTCTCACTTCACTGTTTGCAGGAAGAAGTACTTCGTATGATATATTACGTAAAGTTTCTTTTTTCAGCCATAAGTTTCTCTAAAGGTAATATTTTTTGTTTTCATGACTTGGCGATTTTTTTCTTCTAATACCAAAGCGACAGAGTAGTAGGTTTTTGTATTTTAAAACTGTTTTGGTCATCGCATGCGAGCTACTTTATGAGAAAATGTAAGTACCCTTAAACCTTATGACTGACCTTCTTCAGACATGCCCAGCTCCAGACCCCCAGCAGTTGACATCGACGCCTCGCCATGTGCCCCAAATGAGAAGGTTGGAAGATTAATCTGAGGAGAGCTGAGGGTACCAAAAACAAAAAAAAAGGAAAAGAAAAGAAAGACATAACATTGAAAATTCTCCCTAAAGGAACCTTTCAAGGTAAGTCGTTTCTCTGTTTAAAAACAGTCTCCCTTACGCATTTCTGGGTTCGTACTACAACAAAAGACTTTTCACACCTTAAAAACTTAAATATTCACAGTGCTCGTTTTGCATTTTTCATTACCTTATAGCCTCTGCAAATCCATCGGTTCTCTTTGGAACATACAAAGTAGGAGTACTAGGTACCATGCAGTCCTCTTCATCATTAAACGGACCTGGCGCTGGTTGACCCTGAAACACAAAATATAGGGATCCAAGGATAAGAGGGAGATTAACACTAAATAGTGGTATAGCTAAGTGGGTGGCTGAAGTAATTGACGCAAGTTTAAATCTTGACAATGCCGGTCAGCGGAAGCCCCCAGACCCCCGACACAGCTGAGTGCGGCAGGCCAGGGTCTTCTCTTTACATCTACTAAGGTTCACGTGCCGCCAGCTTTCAAGTTTTTTTCCCTCTCTGCCCTCGCTCTGGTAATTATATGGAGTTTACGCAACGACGACGACGACGGCAACGAGAGCGGCAAAAAAGCAATAGGCTCAGACAAGCTAAACAACAACTTTGCACGTGCATCACGCTCTCTTGGACATTTCTCTACCGTCGTTGCACGACCACAACGTGAAACTGCCATATTTCACGTTTTGTCGAGGACGGAAACACAAGACAACAACTTTCTTTTTTCTTTTCCTAAACTTTGATGCAGTCCTTTAGAATTCAACTCCAAAAACCTTTGCCAGCATTTGACGAATTAAACGAGATGGAATAAGCGCGATAAAGGTTGAGGCAGCGCAAGTTCACTATTTAAGTGACGTTTTCGTAGCCGTCGCCGTCGCCCGTGCGTGAACTCCCTAACATCGGTCAGTGCTCCACTGACTACTCCATTGTGACAATGGCTTTGGTGGAGGACACTTGCAAGGTTGCCCAAGCTCATCCGTTAGCGATGAGCTTAAAATAGCAATAACAAGTGATTATAAGGTGTTTTTCTCATTGTAAATTCACTTGAACACGTCCAACAATCACGGTCAACTGGCCGTCATACCACACCAAGGGACAGATGTTCAGTCGATTTTGTCACCTGTTGAATACGAGCTGCCAGTTAGTGGCCACTTCGAGAGACACACGATAGTACCTTTGATATTGTATTATAAGGCGATGAATGATGACCCAAAATAATCTGAATTGATAAGACCAGTTGGGGCAAAAAGTAGTATAGTGTGACATGACTTACCCCTGCAAGTAAACAGGCTGCGAGAACTCACCTGCGGGAATGAAAAGGGAGCTAGATGAGACCTAGCACGGAGAAGTCTTTGTGCAACTGGGGCAGTCGGAGGAGGTGTTACTCTGTGTTCTCCCCCCATTAGCTGGCCTTCTGTTTCTGGCACGTTATGTTGTTGAGTTGTTGAGATTTCTCTCTCCTCAGTTGTCTGCGATGTCTCAGTCTGCTGTACTTCAGTTTGCACCTGTTCAATTCTTTCAGCGGCATCCTCTTCTGTTGGTGACAAAGTCAATCAAGACGACATGATTAGCTCTTTACGCACTTACCGTGATTAGCACCCCTTTCTCCTTACTAGTTATCAATGTGGTTCCCCAACGGTGCATATCGTTGAACGTACTCACCTTCCTCGATGTCCTCTCCAGCTTCTTCCTCTAACGGTGTATCGTCCACTGCTTGTCCCTCCCCAACATCTTCATCTACTTCATCATCATCAATTACTTCCACCACCTCGTGCTTTCCCTCTTCTGCCTCCTCCGCTTCCTCGCCCTCCTCTTCCTCTTCTACCTCAATGTCTTCCTCTTCTCCTTCATCGCCATCTCCTTCCACATACTCTTCTTCCTCGTCTTCTTCTTCTTCCTCCCCTTCCTCCATTTCTTCATAATCTTAACGAAAACGCAAATTTTTTGGAACTGAATATTAGACTATACCTGAAGGGTTTGCTTGCAACAACCATTGACAGAAAAACAAAATAAATTTAAATTTGGGCCCAGCGTTCGCGTAAATTCACACAGCTTAAGATCCAATTCCGTAAGAGAGGCCGTAAGAGAGGTGGGCCTCAAATTAAGAAGGTAAACAGAGCAAACATTGCCTACCTCCACGTTCTTCATACTGCTCCTCTTTTTCCTCTTCTTCATCACTTTCGATCAGCACAACTTCTGGTGCGACTACCACAGGTTTCCCAGCCTCCACCGGCCCAGTCTTACCAATCTCTTCATCTTCTTCTTCCTCCTCATCCTCCATCTCCTTCTTCCATTTCTTCTTCCACTGCACCTTCATCTTCGCCCTCATCACCCTCAAGGAAATCAGCCGTCTCTTCCAGTTCTTCTTCTTCCTCTTCAAGTCGATTGTCTGGTTCCTCAGCTGTGGTTGCCTCCTCTACAACAGCTTCCTGTGATGTTCCTACTTCTCCTTCAAACGGAACCTGCTATGGAAATACAAATGGCACACAATTCTAGCAAGCCAGAGCTGTGAAATTTGTGTCACAGAGGGACTGCATTATTCAACACATACACAACATACAATTACACCTCTGGAATCATTTACCTATTAAACTAGGACGTTTAAGCGCTATATCAAGAATGACTAATTTTATTTCATTTCATTTTCATTTTATTTCAATCATTGTACCATTTTAACGTTAAATCACGTTAATTGTCTATTTGTTCTTTAAATGTAACCGAATGTTATTGAATATTTTTCTTAAGGGTAAATTTACAATTCTTACTATTATTTATTACACTCCCCAAGAAGATTTCTAACGACGTTCCTTGAAGAAATGGTAAGTTAACCGGCAAAATTGTGTTGTGCAAAGTGGATTACTGCATATATGCATCTTTTTCGCTGACCTCGTACTGTGAAGCAAACTATGTAGAGAAAATGGTTCTTAACAAGAGAAACGAGGCCCTCGTCGACTTCAACAACTGGAAACTGGAGAGAAAAATACGTGCCTAAAGATGTAGCGCCTACTAATGTCTCCTAGTTAGAGAAATAACCAAACGGAGTCTGTCGTTTAAACCAGCCTAGAGCTACAATCTTGTTGTATATCAATTTTAGAATACTTCCCTCCAAAGCCCGGTTCACTCGAGATACTCCCCCCTCCCCCCCCCCAAAAAAAACAATGTTGAAGTGTGGCCGGAACATTTTTGCTCCCGACTAAACAATATTGACCAGGGAGGGGTGGGGGGAAGGGTCACCATGGTGCCAAATGCGTAGGGTGGGTTTCTCGTGAGTAAGAAAGTGCAAAATTCTTAACACTTTTTGCCCAAGATTGTAGTTTACCGTTATTCACTACAAGAGTATCAAAAGCTTACTAACCTCAGCAGTTCTGATTTTCTTTGATACAGGTTCTTCCTCTGTGCTGGTACCTTCTGCAACCTCCGTGGTACTTCTACAACAAACGATCAAAAACGATGTAAAAAGGTCCACGTAATATAAACCAGCATTATTATTCTTTCAAAATATTTCTCCGTTTTGCTCGGCTTAATTATCCCAGCTAATTCTTCATAAAAAGTAAGTACTAACCGACTGATTTGGAAGATAGGAGATAACTTTGTCATTATTTTACAGTTGACGCCAATAGTAAATAACAGAACAATTATTGGGCGATTGACGTAAAAAAACATCCGTTCGCGGCTCAGCTGTTTTGGAAATTGTCGAGAAATCCAAGGACTTTCAAGTTATTGACTTTGGTGGATAACACCTTCCAAGATCTGCAGAATTCTTCATATCATCCTTATCCTCATCCAATAATTGTTCATGATGCAGGAAACTGTTATTGAATCATATACCCTTGTCAGTTAAGATGATTTTAAAGCAAGAAGAACTCCTTGTGACGTGCACCCTTCAAAGTACTTGATGCCGAACTTTGCTTTGAATCTGTCACGTCATTAATTTGGAGAAATTCGACGACTTTTGAGGAAATTAATTTCAAGATAATTTCAGATTTTCCCGCTCTTGACTTCACCCAGGGCGCGTCCCATTCTCGAGGTGGTAATCATAAGATCCATTCGTTAGATCATCTGGATTCCGAGAGGGAGACGCTTGACTAAGGAAGTTCTTTGGCCTTTCAATTTACCTTATAAAGGTACTGCGAAGCAACCCACCAGTTAAAACTCAGTGGATGACAAAAACTTTACAAATGAAGTTTAGTACGTGTCAAGTAGGACAAGGCGTCAATCGTTAGTCAGCTCTTTTAAAGCCCACGTCTATGTACCCAACATACCTGTCAGTCACCTGAGGCTCGTCTCTCTGTCGTTTGCCGGACACCACAGCTGTTGACGGCATAGGCTGCAGTTGCTCGCTAGCTGTCACTTCGGTAGATGACACTTCTGATTCTCCCCTAAAATGGTAGAAAACAATGGGTTTCCATACGAATCGTTGTAAATTTCGAAATTTTCCACTGTCGTAAAATATTTCTTTTAGCATTACAGGGCTCAAATCTCCTTTTTATTCATGACAGACAATTTGAGCCCTTAAATGCGTAAGGGAAAGATTTAACGACAGTTTGAAAATTCTAAATTTACAAGGATTTGTGCTGATGGAAAACCACTCAAGCGTGATTGAGTGGCAAGAGTTGTTTTTTTTCATACAAATCCTTCTAATTTTCGCGGCCGTTGCAACCGCTACTTTTGAGATGTACGGCTGAACAGCTACAGGTTACTTAATTTAAATACTCTCTTACAGTTTCTGCTGACAACATTTTCTAAAAGCGAACCATTTTCGTGTTTACAGAAAGTTGATCACATGACCAACTACTGCAAAAGGCCTATTGCCCAAAGACCCAATTTACTCACTCTGGCGGTTGTTGCTGGTCTTCTTCAGTGCTTGTAATAGGACGCACAGACACTGTTGTTGGAACAGAGGTAGAAACACTGCTGGCTGTAGAAATAACTGTCCCAGTTGCCCTCATGACTCCGCTTACACTGGCGGCTTCTGACGGGGTGGAGGTGACAGTGGGTAAAACAGTTGCTGTGGGGGTTGGGGTGCTCTGTGTTGGTGCCACTGCTATGGGTCTGATGCTCGCCTTAGGGCCTGCCCGTTTAATGGCTGAGGGGGTGGTGGTGGGTTTGATTGTTGCTGTTGGAGGTACCAGTGACACTGGTGGTGCACTCGGAGCAGTGCTCGGGGCTTCTGCAATAAACGATTTCCAAAAATAGTTCTAAATCATAGTCCTGAACTCGCAGGGCTGTCACTAGGGAACTTTAGCAACGACGGCGGCGACGGCAACGAGAACGGCAAAAAAGCTATAGGTTTGATTAGCAAAAAAACAACTTTGCACGTGCATCACACTTTTTTGTAGATTTCTTTGCCGCCACTGCACGACTACGACGTGAAAGTGCCTAATTTCAGGTTTTATGGACAACGCAAACAAGCGACGACGAATTTTTCTTTCTCTTTCTAAACTTGAATCGGGTCCCCAAAAAATCAACTCCAGAGAAATCCGCCTACATTTCACATTTTCAGTGAATTGGAATAAACGCAACAAAGTTTGAAAAAACGCAAATTCATTTTAAAGTGACGTTTTCGCTGCCGTCGCCGTCGTCGATGCTAAAGCTCCCTACTAAGGGCCAAGGACCGGGCTTTTTGCCCAGCTACTATATGCATTAACCCGGGCCACTTTCATAGAAAACAAAAGCAAAATAAAATCAAAAGAACTTCTTAGCTGTTCACTTACATACACCCGGCAACCTAAAAAATCTAACTGACAGCCCAGACCTAAGGTCGCATAGCTCTTACAGAAAATCTAAAATGAAACAGAATGCATTGCAACAACACAAGCAGTCAAATTTCACCACCTGTACCATCTGAGGGTAACGCAGTTCTTTGTCTTTATGGTTTACCGATTGCGATTGTCAAATTATGCCGGTAGAAATAATTCTACCCCAAAATACATTACCGAAAAAAGATGGCGGCGTGACCGATCGGTTAGCACGCTGGACTTGTAAATTAGAGGCCCCGAGTTGAAGTCCCGCTCTGCCGACTTGCTAGATTTGTTCTCGGTAGACCCGAGTTCAAATCCTCGGCCAAGCTCGCAAAATCGCCTTCTGGTTTGCCTCCTCGGTTAGGATCCTTAACCATGTTATGTTCCATTTGAATTATTTGTTTTATTATCCCTGAAAAGGCTCACAGGGGGAGAGGATAATTAAAAAAATGAAATAAATTAATAAAAATAAATATATTCCGTGCGAGTGGAAGGAGTTTTACTAAGACAAAGCCAAAAAAATGCGCCAAAAAACAACACCACCACCAAGGGGAAAAAAAGCCAGAGGAAAATATACTTGAAATAAGAAATGCCAAGAAACTAAATAGAACAAATATATTTTGACATCGGAGCCGGATTTGATATTTAATGAATTTCTAACAAACCTTGGGTTGCAGACGCCTCCGCCCCAGCAGTCTCCCCTGGGGTTGGTCTGGAAATGGAGTTTGCAGAAGCTGCTGTTAGAGACTTGATCCTCATTTGCTGCTTCTGGATTAACGCCTGGTACTGTTGAAGCTTCTGTTGAAATTTTGCAGTTTCCCTGTATTTCAAGCAAGAAAAATTTGTGTAACAACTTATAGAGCCTTTTGACGTGAAGTCACGTCGGCCATGTTGGTCTCTCGAAACAATCCTGTGGGAGTTGGACTCGTTTTTTTATGTAGACGCACTCTTTTGTTCCAATCCATTTACAGAGCTGCAGGCCACGTGAGTGAAACACTATATATTTTCAAAACTAAGTGAATACATAATTGATTCGATTACGCACGGAAGTGCAATGCAACCAACTAAGCAAACTTGCAAGTCTGCGTGAAATTTCCAAAATTAGAGTGAGAGGCTGGCCCGGTGAGTGCAATTACATGAACACTTCCACCGGCATTGGCCGGATCCAGGTATCACGATACCAGGAAGGCTCGTTTGGTTGTCTTGTAGACATAAAGGTGGTTTTTGTTACGTTTGAATGACGTGTAGAGTGAGCTGGCCTGGCAAACCAATGGCTCGTTTCTCGAAAGTCCCGATCATTAAGTTGTTGTTGTTTACATGCAAGATAGAGGTTTCCAAAGTCTTGCATCTAACATGATAAAACTACCAGTTAATGAAACAAAATGGAGTAGTTTGCTAGCCAGAATCCGCGCTCTTATTCTTCATATTTCGATTTGAAAATTTGATTTCGGGCCCGAAACGTTACCGGGACTTTCGAGAAACGGGCCCCAGGCACGCCCGGCTCATGTAATAAGCCAATAATTCTTTAAGCCCACGATCAATAATTAATTATTCATCTCCTTATACGTAAAATTTCCAAACCTTGTATCAACCTGCATTTCTCTTTGGCTGGGGCTCAAACTTTACAAAAAGGTGTTATATTTCTTAAAAGAGTCACTTGTGCATTCCTCCTTTACTTTAACACTCGCACGGTTACTTCTGTAACTGTCAACCATCCGTTAATGGAATTATTTGTCAACATATTGGAGTAAAACGTCAAGTAAAGTCATTGACTTACTGCTCGTGTTTCTGCTGATTGTCTTCAAGTTGCTTCTTTGTACCATCAAAAGACTGTTCCAACTTCTCTTTACCCTCCTTAGCATCCTGTAACTCCTTTTCTAACCTTGTTATCCTTCCCTCGTACTGAGATTTCACAACGGTCGACCTCATCTCCAGTTCACCCAATCGTTGACTCAAATTCTCATTTTCATCGCTCAAAGACTTATGCTTCTTCTTGAGATCTTCATTTTCTGCATTCACTCTATCTTTGGTGGCTGACAAAAGAGAACACAAAGCAGCTAAGAACCTGAGGCTCAACTGTTACTAACGTTTGCACCAGGAGGTTGCGCCGAAGGCACAGAATGACGCATTACTTTGAGGAATTTATTCACGAACTTTCCCTGCATTTTGTGGGATATTGCCACACTCTCATTCTACTGTTTAATCACTACCATACACACAAAAAAAATTATTAAGGTTAATGTCCCCTGATGAAATTTGTTTGTTATCTTCTACATATCTCTGATGGAGCATTTTGTGTATGGGTACTTAGTAATGAATTCAGCACAGCAATATCCTCATGCTATGGCCCCTTTAAGCTGCTTTTTGCCACTGAGTCCAAGGTACAGTTGTTGACTGTAAATAAATACCTGTAAGTTGTTGAAGCTTTGATCGGGCTTGAATCAACACCGTCTTGTTCTTATCCTCTTTTTCTTTCAATGAAGCCTACAAGAACATATATAATTACAAAAATCAGACGAACAAAATTTAACTAAAAGACAAACGAATTTAAGGCACAATGCGATGACTCTGACAGTTGCATATAGAAAGACGAGCCCATATCAAATGGTTTAGGCAACGACTTTGACTTTCACAATCTGGTTAAAGTCAACCGAGTGTTCCCTCCACACTACAGTTTTAGTTTAACTACCACTTAGTAAATCAAATCAAATCAAATCACTGGTTTATTGTCCCTTTTGCAGTCGGAGGACTGAATTGTAGCAGGGAGTACTGCAAGCCAAAAGGCTCACGCGCAGCACGATCCGCCGGGATACACTCAAACTTTAAAACAATCCACAAAGGCAAAGATAGCGCGGTCCGAACAGTCATCCTCAAGGGCCGACAGCAAAACTTTTGAGGGGGCATGGGTGATTTAGTCAAGCCTACTACTGTCACATAATTTCTCTCCCAACTTGATGAACAACTCTTTCTTGTGTTGAATATTATGCATCAAATGATGATTCCAAATTAAATCAAGTCGGGTTGAATATATTACACCAAATGATTATTCCAAATTAAATAAAGTAGGGCGGAAGAGAACAGATGTCTCTACACAGACTTTCGGAACGCAAATCTAACATCTTGACATCTTACCGACTACGCACACAAAAGAGTAGGTATCTTCAAGGACTAGACCACCCACCTTGTTCTGTTCATCTAACTCTTTGAGTTTCTTCACCTCTTCTTCAGTGTTTTTAACCTGCTCTGTTAGCTCTTTAATCTTGTTCTCGTAAGAAGTAACATCGACATTCTCTGCAGGTGCAACAGCTGCTCCTGAAGCAGCAGTTCCTTCTGCCGCAGACTGCTGCCCAGACTCCTCAGCTTTCTTCTTGAGCTCTTCCATCTCCTTTGTCTGCTCATCTACTTGGGTCTTGTAACGACGAGCTATTCTCTTGACCTGAAAACAAGCACAATGCATAACCCGTTAACATTATTAACAACATTATTACCTAAAAACAAGAACAGATAACAGATAATCCACAGGACAATAGAGACCTTGAGATCAAGGTATTGTTCATTTTACTGCAAACGACAAACTGCGGTTTGCGGTTAACGGAGCCAAAGAGTTCTAAAAGGTAGTATTTCTTCTCAAACGTGGGATTGTGATGTTTTAGGGAGCAAAAAAACCTTGAGGTAAATCACTTTCCTCTGAAGCGTGGTCTAGCCGTACAAACGTGATCCTAACGGCAGGGCCCCGGTCACGTGACTTCTTGACGTTCCCGGTTCGCGAGAAATGCCGAAAAACCTCGATCTCAAGGTCTCTAATAGAGAGATTTGGGGTGCGTTCGATTGATCGTATTCGGGAACAAGAATACCCAAACGTTTTGTTACAAAACTCTTGTACCGTAATTTTTGGACCACTTAAACGTTACATACATCGGAATGTTCTTTCCAGCAGATTTTTCGATATTGAAAAGCAGTGAATGCCAAAGCAAGTGATTTCTAGAGTTTTTTCCATTTATTCTGATTCCGGAATATGGTTAATCGAACACGGCCTTACTGTAATCATGGGAGGATTTAGGGGTGGTCAGAGGGGACCGCCAACCACCCTACCCCCAGTTGTTTTTCTACAGAATTTGTATTATTTGTAAAGATTTCTCAGAAAAATAAAATGGTATCTGTATCTATTTACCTAGCAAGTGCTCCCCCCTCCCCCGCTTCTGAACACGCTGACACTGAAGTTATTAAATTTGGAACTGGCACGGAACTGCTCATTTTTGGGGGAATGTTATTAACAGTAAACGTCACGTAAGAGAAACCTTGGTAACGTGGTACAAACCGACGTTTGCCTTTTGTCTTGATAATGATTCTTGGTCTCCACAACAAAGGAGTATTAAAGGCTAGGGTTATTAAGGAAGTGAACAAACCTGATTCAGAGTTTTGTTTTTCTCATTGACTTCTTCAGTCTTGGCATCCACCGTGCTCTTTAATGTTGTAACCTCCTCCTGAAGTTTAGCTACTGCTTTTTCATGTTCCTCCTTCAGACTTGATATTTGATCATTTGTCTTCTGTGACATGGCCTGAAAAAGGATCACCAAGAGCACAAAAAGTAATGTTTCATATACAGTTCTGTAATGTGATCAACAATCTACAAGCTTCACTGATGCTACTCAGAACGACCTATAAGGATTTGCAAGATGAGGATCGTAAAGAGTTTCTGTCTTAGGCAGGTAAGTAAGTAGAACATATACACACTGTAAAAAGAAATACATGCCTTATAGAATACACATATTGCATGATTTCACTTCATGGCGCCGCTGCAGGCGTGGTTCCCGCGTCCAGGGTTGCAATAGATACCACATTGGTTTGCATTACATCAGGCCCCCCTCTGACGTTAGTGAGCTTACGCAACAGAACGGGAGAGGAAAGACGACGGTAAACCCTGTGTGACAAGCGCGACAATATTTTTTTTGAAAAAACGTTTCGCCGCAGTTCATCCTCCTTTAAACAGATCTTTTTGTAAAATACCAGAAAACATTAATGTAAGTGAAGATCACGACATAACACGCAAGTAATAGCCTTGTCACGTTTGCCACACACGAGCGTTTTGCCGTCCTCTTCTTTCTGCCGTCCTGTTGCGTAAACTCACTATTTAAAATGAGACACCAGTTCCCAAGCGCACCTTTTGGTGACAAATTCTATATCCAATTTGAATTAGTATAGGTAATAGCATGATTTGTAGTGATATTTGGCATAAATACCAGGAGTGATATTTCGAAATTGTTATACGTAATTTCACGAGCCGTTAGGCGAATAAAATTTGAGACAATTTTGAAATATCGCGAGTGATATTTATGCCAAATATCACGTACAAATCATGCTATTAGGGAATTTAAGAACCACGACGACAGCTTGGTCGACGGCGACCGGAAGTGAGTTACACTGTGCTGCGCAAGCGCGTCCAGTAAATTTTGTCGTCGTGGTGTCGTCGACGACGCCAAACAAAGTAGAATCACGTCGTCCTGCAACCCACAAGCTTCGGCAGGTATAAATCCACTGTTTTAAGCGATTTTTGAAGGCCTTTGCATTTTCTTGTCTTCCTAAATCCAGGCATCGTTCCTTTTTTCTCCTAACAAGCGATGTTGATTGAAAATTCGACCAATGAATTGATTTTACTTTGAAGAATGGCAACAGCTGAGGAGGCCGAGCGAGCGAACTTTTAAGTGAATTGTGATAAATTTATTTGTACGTATTTAGGTAAGGCAAATCATATATCTTTAATATAGAGGAAATAAACTTTATATGGAAAACAGCTATCACATCAGAATGTCTCTTTTTCGAAATCTAAACTCTGACAGACACTCGGACTCGGTCATCTCATTCAAGTTGAAAGTTGAATAATTTCGTACGGAAAGTAGGTGTATTTCCACTCGAAAAGGTCAGACAACACAAAAAATTTTTTTATCGTGAATGAAATTAGACGTACGGCTTGAACAAATAAGATCTTGCATTGTTTTGAAAGACGCCATTGCGAAAAACTTTGTTGCGAACGAACATCACAGTTTTACATCTGTGTTTACATTCAGTGTCGTCGTCGTCGACCTACCGACCGACTGCATCTTAACTTTCCTTTTTCCCGCCGAAACTGACGTTCTCGTTCCAGTCTTTTCCCAGTCAACAAACGTCGTCGTCGTGAACTTCGTCGTGGTTCTTAAGTTCCCTATTATTTGTTTATACGACTACCCGCAAAAGGTTTGTAATTTTCTAAGCCAATCAAGCTCTAAGCCAATCAAATTGCAGTAATTTCTCATGTAGTTGTATAACTGTCTGAATAATGCTGAAATAATCCACCTAGGTAAACCCTACCTTTAGTCCGGCAAGCTCTCCTTGTGTTTTGGACAACTCAGACTTGAGTGATTCCCCTTGGGTTCTTATCCTTTGGTTGTCGCTCTTTAAGCTGGAAATCTGTTGCTGAAATTGCTTCTTCTCCTCCTTCATTCTCTTGTACTCGTCAGCATCAACATTCTTATACTGTTCTGATAACTGGTTGGTTTTTGCTTGCCATCGAACAATCTAAAATGAGAAAAATCAAAGCAAAATGTGGTTTAAAGGGGACATGACGTCACGAGGATACTGCTGTTTTAGATCAATTCCGTACTCAAGTCATTTGGGATCATTGTAAGTTTCTGGGAAACTGCCCACCTACCCCTCCCCTAAGCCAACATTAACCCTTTCTTCTCACTTAGGGTAAAATGTTGGCTTAAGGGAGGGGTAGGTGGGCAGTTTCCTAGAAACGTATAATGTGACTCCACCCATACACCAAATGCTACTGCAGAGTTATGAAGAAGATATCAAACAAATTTCACAAGGGAGCACCAAACAAAATAACTCTTTAGGTGAGTTTTCTAAAACTTGAAAAGGCTGGCCCAACTTTTTCAAGTTTCGATCCATTTCCATCCGTTACAACAGACGACAGGAAACAGTTTCAATGAAAAAATAGTCAAAAATAGTCTTAAATAACAAAACTGGTCCATTATTCTTAAAATTAAATTGATGCGAGAAATGTTTCAGCCTTTTAAAAGGATAAAACAAACAGCGCGACGAAGTTCCTTTAATAATACGTTTACTTCATTCTTGCAAAGCTATACATCTGTCTCTAGTTGCATAATTTTGGGGGCCCTGAAATGCATTTTAGGCCATTTTTTGAGCCACCGGGGAAAGAATTTTAGTCATCAGGATTGCACCTTTATTTGCCCATATTGCTTTATTTCATGTACCATTTATTTTTTCATCACAACGAAGTGTTGAGAAACAAATATAATAAAAGCATTTATGTTCGGATAGAAGCCGGTGCTTCCATGACAACTGGAAGGTGACATTCGCCAGTACAACGACTCAAAGTTCCTCCAGTCTCTATGCCCCAGAGCAAACGGTAAAACTATTATACAGTACCTCATTTTTCAGAGCAGTCTTCTCGGCTAGCATTGCATCTTTCTGAGTTGTCAATGACTGTATATCAACTTTAAGTGGTCGCATCTCTCCCTCCAACTGTTGGATCTGAGAGACAACAATGTTGACATGTTTAAATAATTATTAACTAAAATAAAATTTGCTTTTGCAGTAGAGAATGAAACTGTCTTTCACGTTTGATCAAATTCAACTCAGTTGACAGGTGTCAAAAAGGGTATCCGCTGAACACTGTCACCTGACTGTATCACCGGCTCAAGTAACCTGAGATCAGGCTCTATTTTCGTTTCGCTTTGAAAATTACATTCCGGCGGGCAAGAGAGAATGTATGAGAACCGCTCAAATTGGACATGATCTCAGGTTACGGCTCAAGTGTACAACCCATTGAGGTAACGTGTTTTTTTGAGTCATCCGCTGATCAGTTGTCGGTTTTAATTGATCGCAGGCTCAGGTCTATAGTGAAAAGGCCATATTATTATAATAAATAACTAATTAACCTCGTCTGTTCGGTCATTTACAGGGAAATCTCAGACCACGGCCTTGATGTATTGACTTCGCTGATAGGCCTCGGTCTGAGATTTCCCCGTAATGACCTCACTAGTATGTAACAAACCGAACCAGACTCTCCTAAAAAGGAAGCAATCTAGTTTGCTTTCCAACATCAATGACAGAGTACATACACCACACTGTATAATGCGGGCACCTATCCACAGTGAAAAATCGGCACTGATACCATGTCATATGGAGGGACATTGTCTCATAATAGACCCTTTTGCTCCTGACTGAGTTTAAGATAGTGAGATCATCTATCATTCTCACTTTGGCATCTGTAGACGAAATCCTATGGTGTTACCATTCAAATGAAACCTCTTCAGCAGTACTTTCACATGGTACTATTATTTAGTATGTAGTTCTAACTTTTGAGTTTGTGGATGATTTATTGGTTATTGTAAAACAGGAGTTTGACTGTACCTTTGTCACCAGTTCCCGGACTGTCTCCTCTGCACTAGCCTTCTCATTCGCCAGTACTTTATTGGCTTCAGTCAGTTCATTAAGCTTTTCTACTTTCTCCATAATCTCTGCATGCTGAGCTGCAGTTTGTGTGTCCACTTCAGACTGTGTTCGTTGCTCTGTTATGTTCTTCTGTAGCTCTTCTATCTGACCTTCCAGGTATTCACATCGTTGCTGAAAGCGGATGCTTTCCGACTGAGACAGTTCACATTTTGTCTCAGAAATCTCCTTTTCACGGCGAACAAACCTGTTATGAAAAAAAAGAACTTTCAAGGGGGGCAGTTTAGTCCATTTCGCTTAGCTTTGCAAGTTCCTGTCTACAAAGTTCAACGTTAAAGAAAAAATAAAGAAACTATGATCGTACCTTCATGTCAAACAAATATTTCTATGTGTGTTTCAATTTCAAGTTACAGACGAAATAAATTAACTCTGAGGAAACTGGATATTTAAACGAAATTCTGTTACAACCGAAATCTAATTGTGTCTAAACTCTAATCATCTGCTTTAGTGTCTTCGCATGTTGGGAAGGTCAATTAAAATGAACCATCCAAAAACCGTTACTATGAACGTGAATTACCTAATGATCTCCCACAGCTCCTCTACTGTCTTGTTATCTTCTGAACCCCCTTCTGCAGAAACGCCTTCTTTAGGGGGCAAGGAAATGTTAAGCGATGACTCTTTACTGACCGCAAGTTGAGCACTTAACTGGAAAATAAACAAAAACACACTCTCTACAAATGTGACCGATCAATACAGAAGACACTTCAAACAGCCACTGCAAAGTGTCTCAACCATGCGTAATGCCAATAGAGACTGTGTACCGGTGGATTTCCACTGGCGCGTAATTTTTACGTGCGTACGCACGTAAATTTTACGCGCGAAAATAAAATAAAAGCAAAGTGTGAGAGGAAAAATGGATAAGGGAGCAAACCTTTTCTAACTGGCTATGTAGTGTGGAATTCTGATTAACAAGATCAGCACACCGAGCCTCTAGTTTCTTTGTCTCTGAAGCCTTGGCCTTCTTTTGTTCTTCCCATGAGCTCATGCGTTGTTGTAGCTTTTGTTCAGCCGCTACAGCACGGTCTTCTATCTCCTTAAATTTGCTGCTCTGCTCTTGAAACTTAAAAAGAAAATCAGCAAAATGTTATTTGACAAGGACCGCCCGCATTCAACTCAATCGTTTCCAGCTGTGTTAACACAAATTCAGGCGCCACGATTCCACGGGCTCTTCGACTGAAACACAATGGGAATTGCGCTGCTTTATCCCCAGTGGCTGGCGATCGCTTATTCAAAGAATAAGTTGTTACTAATTAGGGAAAGCGGGAGTAAAGGGAGAGATTGAGAGGGGGCATCGCTCACTCCCCACTCACGTACGCTCTCCGCCAGTTGCTGTCAACCCCCAGCGGCGCTTCTTACTACAGTAGTTTTTAAGCCCGTTCTTCACCGCGCAGCCTTGAGAAAGCCCACAGGGCATAGGCTATTTCCGAGTTTCACAAACTCTCACTTTCAAAACGAAGCTCAGAGCAAAACCTTTCTAGTGAAAATGAGTGATATCTGCTTGAGAGTAAATATCATTTTCATGTCAATGGCTTCTCACTTAACCTCACTTTGAAATAGAGGCTTGAGGCAACTCAGAAATGGCGGCATGTTGTGAGCGTTTCGGAGCGCGCTAGCCCATGGTAAAAGGAGCCTGTTTCTCAGTTCTCTTTCGGTTTCCCTCTCACGAGTGCCTGTTCATGGATGGATCACAAGGATTCTAAGTTACGGGAGCAGTCTCCTTCTAGGAGCTGGTCGCCTATAGTGGACGACGATCCTGGATATCTAATACACCCATCTTCCTTTTAGCCATGCAATTGTCCAACATGAAAAGTATGAGGCACGGTCATAACAAAAACTCTAGAGAAGGACTCGCCTTGTGCAAGACATGATGTCACTTTCCTGATGACAGATGAAGATGGGACAAAAACCATGCTCTTAAAAATCTGATATGATTACTTTATGTGAATGAATTCTGGCAAAAACGCTTATTCACCTCTTCCTTGATGGTGGTTAATGCCTGTACATCGTTAGCATGAAGCACTAGTTCTCTTTCATATTTCTCTTGAGCCTAAGGAGGAAGAGAAGTCAATGAGTGGACCTTTCATCACAATACACTGTGCCAAGTTAATAAATATTACTCCAAAAGCTTAAAACACAATTAGTTTTGTGTGAAGTGCTTATAAATTAGATAAAAGAAAGTAGTACCCGGTGAAAGGACTCCCAAAGATGTTTCAATTGAGTAGGAGCGCTACAAGATTCATCCACACACTCAAAAGACAGGAGAAAGCTAAAATACACTGAGAGGCACGGGACGTGACAACCTTGTGTAGGAACAGCAAAACGCAGCTAGAACTACTCAAGATTTAAAAGAACATGTGGTGTAAAATCTGTTGCAGAAAATTCAACAAGAACCGTTTGATTGGACAATAAGTCAAAAAGTCTTTGAGGAATTGAACTGCAGCGGAGTCTCCAAGTCAACAACAGCAATTAGTCGGAGTTCTGGAAAGACGGATGGCTCGAAAACTCCGTCGTAATAATATTTGACCTCGATCTCATAGTCAGACCTACCTCTGCGGCCAAGATGGCTTGTTCCTTCAGTTCCTCTTTAGCAGTCATTTCAGCTGAAGCAGACGTTTGAGCTTTCTTTAAAGCCTCGTCCAACTCTGCTCTGACCTTGCTCAACATTTCTCGCAAACTTCTTGTCTGTGATTCGGCTTCCCTGGTTATTCTGGCTTTTACTGCATTGAGATCTTGGTTGAGAGACTGAAGGGAGGAAACTTGTGATTTGTACTGCGCAACCTCTCGCTCGGCTGTGCTGAGTTTACTTTCAGTTGTTTGCTTGAACTCTTCACTTGTCTGGGAAAAGTAAAAAAGGCAGTTCCTATTCAAAATTTCGGTTAACTTCGCATACTTGCAAGACAAAGGAAAAAACAGATTTAGGCTGCAGTTGAAAATACGTTTAAACGCATAAAGCAAGAGCAGCAGAGGGGGAGGGGTCGAACCAATAAATCACAGTTAAAATAATCAGAATTCTTTATGAAATTGAGGGATCGAAAATTGGCATAGTGTATTTTTCGCTGGTTAATAGAGACGAGGACGACTACGAGTACAAGATTTTCTCAGTACTAAGTAGGCTTGAATATTTTTCGAGAATGCGCGAAAAAACTTTACGTTTGTTACCTACCTTATTTAAATCACTCAATGCTGATTCATTAGCTTCTGACATGGACTTATACTGCTCTGCATGCTGTTTAGCCTGTTGTAACTGGTCCTCAAGAGCTAAAATATGAAAAAAAAAAAAAATAAAATGAAATAAAAAACAAACAAACGAAAACAAGAAACAAGGCGCATTGCACAGTGAGGGATGTCATTGCCAATTCGCTACTTTCAAATTCCCATAGTACACCTTGTTTATCCCCAAAAGTTTTGCATAAGCATTGCTTCCAATTTCTCTTAGGATTTAGAATCCTAGCAAGAGAACTTGAAAACAATACTTTTGTCTAACAGAGTCTAACAGAGGCATAGATCCCACTTTTGTTACTTATGAGAAATACAAGTAGAGGAAGCAACTACTAATAGATTGCGAACCCATTTGGAAGGCAAAAAATAACTTTAGTTTGTGAACAGGCAAACAAGGTGTGTCGCTTTTAAAACTCATTAGTTTTTTAATGCCTGTGGTTCAGAAAAGAGAACTAGTAGTTTAAAAGAACTAGCAGTTTAAAAGTGAATACACTATGAACAAACTTACTAACCTTTAATTTTTGCCTCTGCGTTGTTTAGTTTCAATTCGCATTCTTGAACCTTGACAGTGTACTTTTCAGACACCTCTTTTCTAATTCTTTCTTTGTCAGCTGGGTTTGAGTAAAAAACAAACAAACAATATAACAACTTTCATTTGATTAATAGTCTGAATGGCAGGCGATTTGATTTTTAAACGCTTTTGTAGTAGAATGCTAAATTACAAGAGGAGGTCAGCACATCTTTAAGTTAAAAAAACGTTAATTGTTGAAGTGCTCAGTCATTGCAACAGCTCTTTGGTGACTACACCAAACAGGGCAAAGTGCGTACCCATTGTTAAGATGTGAACGTCACCGCACGAGGTTCAGCAGATCTTGGTTATAAGCTCAACGCATGCCGAGTCAAGTTGGTGGCTCCGTGTGTTAAGACCCGAATGGGAAGGAAATCTTCGTATTCAAGCTAAGGAAAGATCACAGCTGATGCCTTTTTTCGAACCGATACCAGAACAACAGGTTAGAATAGGTATGAAAAACCTTAGATGCTCAACAGCATTAGAGTTTTCCCCTAGGTTGCGACACCTAAAACGTATGTATTGGAAACTGAGTTGCATTGAAGGAAAGAATAACAGTGAACAAAAGAACTACCTTCTTGAAGGTTGCCAGCTTCTTTCTCTAAAATTTCCGCTAATCGTTTTTCACTGGCCTGAAGCTGAGCTTCAGCTTGCGTACACTGGAACAGCGAGACAAAAACACAAATTAACTTAACTGACAAATCAATGGAAAGTTTATCTTGGATAACTTAGTGATGTATAGACAGGATTAAGGTAACACGTTAAGGTAACCATGACCGAGGAAAACAAAGTCTAATAAAAATTCAGTTTTGTGGTCTCTGTGGTCAAGCATGAGTTTTCAATGTTCTCTTTTCAGGTTCAAAAGTTGACAACTACTGCAGAGCTTTAACATTAATTTTCGGGTCAACTCAATTTTATAGAAAGAGTCTAGAAAATGCCAAGAGAGATCCATAAGGTGTTAATAACAACTTACTCTGAGCTGCACAGAATCAATATCCCTGGTTGATGTTAACAGCTGTTCCCTCGCCTGTTGATGGGTGTTCATTTCAGCATTCAGCTGTGTTTGCAGTTCTTGAAGACGGTTCTGTAGCCGAGAAGATAAATATGTTTTATTAAGTCGCTACTGTAGCTGTATATTGCAAAGGAAGAAAGTTCTGATCCCTGCGTATGAAGATTGTTCAAAGGCCAGATCTCGTTGGACCTATAGTGACAGTCTAAATCCTTGTTATAGAGTATATAGAGTTCTCTATCCCGGTCTCGTGTGACAAAAAAAATATGTAACACCCTCCTCGGTCTGCATAATTCTTCACACCCCACTCAGACTTATTCAATAATTGCTAATTCTTCACCTACCTCCCAGGTATTGATAACACTCTTATGATACTTCTCTTCAGATTCTAGCTTCTTCTTCAGTAGATTCACTTCACGCTGCAAAGTCTCTACTTGAGCGCCAAGTCTTGTTCGAGCTTCAAACTCCGATCTCTCGAGATTATTCTGCAAAGTGTTGAAGCATTGAATTGAATATTGAACTGATCATTTCGAACACAGTAGTTGGATCAAGAAAAGAACAATATATTGAGTCACTAAAGGAAGCTTAGGCCTAGGCCAAACGTCGAACATTTCACGAGACGAACCAAGCTCCAGTTAGGGTCGACCTAAATTAAGATCGTCCCTTGGGTTAGACGTCGAACTTAGGAGTCATGGAACCAATCAACTGAATCAGATCAGAGACAAATTTTCTCCTGAACAAGGCTAAATATACATTATCATAGAAATTTTTAATTCATTAATTTAGTTCGATAGTCGCATGTGAAGATGGACGTTTGACCCGCCTGAGATCTTCAGACGTTCTATCCGTCTGAAGCAGACGAGTGTTGGACGATCCGAACTCATTCAGACGAACTTACTGAGCCAGATGTCGAAATTTTCATGAACTTAACTCACTAAGTTTGGTTCGTATGGCAACGAGTACGTCAAAAACAATTGGTTTTAGGAGAAAAACGTTTTGGTACATTCCTTTGACGTCCAATACACGACGCCCACGTGAAGCGTCCTAATGCTTCGTTTTATGGAGAACGCAAACTCACAACAGTGACTTTTTACTTTTTGTTCTTGAACTTGAATACAATCCTTAAAAAATCAACTCGAGAAAAATTCGCCTAGATTTGACAAATTGAGCCTGGCAAAATAAATACGATAAAGTTTGAAAGAATGGTGGTTGATTAAATCCCTTGTTATCAGTACAGTTATAGCTAACCTGTAAGGTCTGTAGATTTGTAACTAAAGCATTCTGTGATTTCTGATGTTCCAGCAAGCTTTTGTTTTCCTGCATCAAGCGAACCTCTGATTCCTTCATCAGTGCTTTCTCGGCTTTCAAATTTTCACAGATAACCTGAAATTTGAGAAGAAAGTAAGTAAAAACATTTTATAAGGGTTTCATGTTAGTTACACTGGTTGATATGTTCCGGCAGTGTACTTCAGTGTACTGTTGCTGGATCACCACCTACCCCTCCTCTAAGTCAACATTAACACTTACTTCTCACTTAGGGCAAAATGTTGGGCTAGGGGAGGGGTAGGTGGGTAGTTTTCCAGAAACCTTAATTGATCCCAGATGCTATTTTTCCATTTTGCATGCATTTCACTGGATTAAATGTTATTTTTATGAGTATGGTGGGGTAAAGAAGAGGGTAGAAGAATGTTCAAGCACTGTGAGCCCTCTTTCTGGAAAATGAGCCCTCCACAATTTCAGAAGTGGACCCCATGGGGTCCTCAGTGGCCAATTCCTAGAATAAAACCTGGGTTTTTAAATACTAAGCCTGCAGTAGTTAATACAGATAATAAAAAAAAGCAGAGGAAAACAATACACTATAATATTTGAGAAGAAAAATACCTTTTTTCACAAATTATGGCCACCCACTTACAGCGGCCACAGAACTGGAAATGTTGTATTCAATTTAGCGATTTTCATTTTCATTTTCATTTTTGGACATTGCAAACAAAATTTATGACAGAGAAATCTTTAGGTATCAAAAAAAACCTGACTGACCTCCATCTTGTTGCACTTTTCCTTGATACTGGTCAACTCCTAAAAACAGAAACAAATAAGTTTTTTTTTTATGATGTCAACACACATTTTATGGAGTATGAGCAGAGCTGTACTCCAGCAGTGCTTGGTAGCCCGTAAGAAAACTTACTTTTGTCTTTGAAGAATAAGGTAGACCGGGAGCAGTTCTCCCTTTTGCTCCAGAAACTGTACAACAAGGCAAAAATAGCAGCACAATATGAGAGCTGCAAACCATGAGTTGTCCGGCCTCCAGGACAAAACAAAACGGACTCGCATATCGCGTTTACTTCACTTTTCTGTTCGTTCCACAGATTTTAGAGCAAAATAGAATCATCATGAATGCTGTAATATGTACCAGTAAAGCGTAATAATTACAGGCAGTTTATTTGCATTGTATTGATATTTCGAGCAAAAAAGTTTACTTCT